TTTTTTTTTTTTTGTCAAGATCGAAACTTTTCGACTTTTCAAGTGAACTGCAATGTGAGGAACAGTTAGAATCTTTTTTACATATAAGAAAGGGACGAGAGAGAGAGAGCAGAAAAGGAAAGCAGAGTGTGGAGGAAATTGTTTTACAAATGGGTTCAAAAACCTTAAAATAGTGTGCAGTGATGAAGATGGGTCTTTTTCTTTTTCTTTTTTTTTTCATTTTTTTTTGGCAGCCATCCACGTTATTCGGAGCTATGCCCCGACTAAATAATTGGTCGACCCGAGTCACACACCTGTCAGTGATGGGTGAGTCTCCCAACAAAGTTTTTTAAATTGTACTACCTCCTGTTCATTATAAATGTCGTTTTGACTTTTGTGATTCATCTATTTTGTTATGTATCTAGACATTAATGGATGAATAGATACATAACAAAATGGATGAATCACAAAAGTCAAGACGACATTTATCATGAATAGGAGGGAGTATGATTATCTTATTGTTTAAGTTTGTTTTGTATTTGATTTTTGAAAACTTGTCTCCTGACATAGCCTCGTGACAAACTGTGTTGTTTACAGGACAAAATGGCATGGCATCACAGCTAATTGAAATAAAATTAAAGAATAGACTAACTTATACTAAGGTCTTATTACTAAATAAATATCATTTTTTTTGGTTGATTTAGCATTTTTCTTAACAATAAAGATGAAAAGTAGTAGTTTATTTTTCTATTAATTTGTTCTTAAAAAGTAATTATATTATAGGCCATGCTTCACTATTTGCCGATAGTCGGATTGTCGAAAGTTGATCGAGCTAGTGAATAGCGATATAAGATTGTAATAACTGATTCGATCGATAAATAATTTGTAAATGAATGTTCGTAAATACAGTTTGCAGTTTTGACATGGAACGAACTGGTGGCTCCATAGTGAAGTCAATCTTTTATACAAGTGTTAAAGCCATATGCTATCGTGTGTGTTATTTTATGAGCTCTCCATCAAAATCGTTACTCTATTGAACATTTTTTTTTTTTGGCAATGAATTTTTACAAGTGTTTCAAAGGTTATTGAAACAGCCCCCTAAGTCAAGATTATTGATATCTTCAATAATGTGAAAGTTGCATTTGATCTAACTTGATGTGCTTGCTCTTACTGGACCTAAACAATTTGATAGTTTTAGACCAACTTGCAAAACATTGGGAGAGTTTTTTGAAGGTAAACTTGAATGAACCAACCACAGGCTATAGAAATTAAAGCTAGCCTTACAAAGTTTTAGGTTTCTTTCAGTTGAGGTTGCTATTTTGCATCTGCCATTAATGTTCAATAAGTATTTTAAATCGTGGTAAATGATTGGTGGCTATCATTTTGAGTTTTGTTGATGCCAAATTGTATATGTTTATAAATAAGTCTAGTTTTTTTTTTTTAATTTTTTTTTTTATTTTTTTTTACATGTGACATAGTTTGTGATATTTGAGTACCATAAAAGTTGAAATTGAATACATTCCCTTAGTTTTATCATGATAATCAACTTGTGGTGACACGGGTGTCACCTTTATTATCCTGTTGGGATCCGACACTCGGGTATTACCGTGTTGCGGTCTTTTTAGTTGTTTTGTTGTTTTCGTTGTTTTAGTTGGTTTGTTGGTGCGAGTTTTTTCTAGCGTTGCTAGTCGAGACTCTAGGCGGTCTTCTTACCTGTCCTCCCACTTTTTCAGCTGTTAGCTGCTGTGTATTCAGCCGTTGGCTGCTGTGTATTCGCACATTTGTGCCTTTTTGATTTATAATATAATCTATCGTTTTGGGAAAAAAAAAAATAAAACTTGTGGTGAGTGGTGATCAAGATTATGCTTTATGTAACTAGAATCCTTCGCCCATGAGTAATTGAGAGCTATATTGTTTATTAATTTAGCAACAAAAAAAAAAAAAATCAATTTACCATACTTGATTGATTGGACCGGAGAAGCCACCAGATCGAACCGGCCTGATCACCAGGTCGAAGAGAGAGGGAAAATCGTTCAGGTCGAAAGACCATCGGGTCGAAGAAAGTATCGAAGGCTAGGGGTAGCTAAGGGTTGAGTGAGGCTTTCAAGGAGATTGGTCGAATGATCGACCGGAAGGACATGAGGACAACGAGGCCTGTTGCCGACAACACCTTACTCAAAGATGATGGAGGTCGAGTCCGTGATTAGACCACTTAATGGATAGAGCTTAAGGACAAGAAGGAATTTTAGGGGAATTAAACCCCTCACATGAGTAAAACCACGTGGTACGACTCGTAACCACCTTTGACAGCTCGGATGACTATGACAATTCTGACAACCGAGGTAGCTCACGCGTTCGAGAGCTCATGCGCCTGACTTGGGCCCTAAGATATGTTCTTCCTATAAAAGGGAGTTTTCCTCTTTGTATTTCATCTTCTACATATACTTACTTAAGTATCAGAGACTTTTCACCAGAGACCCCCTCCTATGTAAGAGTTCTGCAAGTTCAACCGGCAATCCGCTCGTGTTCTAGACGTTTCTAGCTCATTCTAAGTGTTTCACAACGCAGCCCGACCAGACTCAGGCGCGGCCCGCTAGGTCTTATGTTCAAAATGGCAGAACCTGAACCGGCCGGTGTAAATTTGGGCCCGGACCCGTGGTCCACGGGTTGAACTTGTCCGGGCTCGTGCCGGCTCAGCCTGACCCGTGGTCATGTCTACACTAGGTATGCATAATCCCAACAACTCTATTTGCTTTGTTTACCATATTGCCCTCCGCTTGTCACGTGACATTTCCAAGTTTCTAACGGTCCCAAATGAACATGAATTCAAAACTCAAACTCCCAATTCCAATTGCCCAACGGTCATTTTATCTATAATCTATCCCCCACTCGCCCTCAAACTCCATATTCAAGATTTTGTGGTAAAAAAAAAAAGAAACGAAAAACGAAAAAACAAAAAAATTAAAAAAAATAAAAAAAATCAAAGAAGTTAGTATCAGAACTCAGAAGTTCAAGTAAGTTCCCAGTTTTCGCTTCGTGTTGAAACCCAGTTGGCCGAACTCTAAAATCCCAAAACCTTCAATAAGGAGAAGCTATGGAGGGTTCTGAAAAGTGGCTATCTCCCTCTAAATCAGCTTCGTCTCCCAAAATTGGTAAGAACCCTTTATTTTGATTTATTACTTTCTGAATTAATGCGCAAGAAATAAAGAAAACCCTTCTAATGCTGTCGTGAATTAAACTGTTCTTTTTCTCTTTTACCAAGATCTTTTTTTTTTTTTTTTTTTTGGTCTGAAATAAGGATTCTTAAGAAATTCTAATCGAAATGAAGAACCCTTTCTGTAATTAGACTGCATTTTACAATTTCTAGGGTTTAATGGTTTCGGTTTCTTGGGGTTGTGTTTTTTTTTTTCGATATCTCATCGAGATGAAGAACCCTTTCTGTAATTAAACCGCATTTCACAATTTCTAGTGTTTAATTGTTTTGATTTCTTGGGGGCGAGTGTTTTTTCTGTTACGTTAATGCAATTTGATTTTCCTTTATTTGTTGGGTTTTTCCAAGATTTTGTTTTGATTTGAAATTTCCGTTTGTTTTAGTTTCAGGAGTGAACGATGAGAACGATTCGACTCGAGCAAAAGGGTATCCCAACTTTCACAACCAAAAGAAAGCAGCTTCCAAACACTTCATGTCGACCACTGTATCGGCAGCTTCGAAAGCTGCACCCCCGAGAAGGAAAATACTTTCTGAAAGGGATGAAAATTCAGTCGAACCTGGTTTTGGAACTCACAAAACCTCTTACCCCAACAAGTGGCAAAGCCCCAGAAATTCGAGGGACAATTTTCCGGATCAGTCCTCTTTGAAGGCGTACGATCCTCTGAAGAATTACCTCTCCCCAAGGCCCAAGTTCCTTCGGTTTAATCCCAACAGGAGGCGCGAGATTTTCAGTCGACTGGAAAAGGAGGAGGTGAGTGATTCATCTGATTCTCGGGAAGTTAATAGTGAAGAAGTTGAAGAAGACTATTCTCCTTCAACTCTGAAAGGAAGTCTTGTGAAGCCACAAAGTGAAGAAAATAATCGAATTTGTGATAGTGATGATTATTATGGTGATGATGAGGATGAAGAAGAAGGTGGTGAGGAAGAAATCGAGGAGAGAGGATGGTGTTTTCGAGGATTAATTGTTAAATTTCTGCTGATTTTGGTTGCTTGTGCTGTGTCGACTTTGTATATTTGTTCTATGAACATGGGAACACCTACACAAGCTCAGCAAGCGATTTGGAGAGTCAAAGATCGCCTTTCTACGATAAGGAGACAATCATTTGAGGTGATTGGTGTTAAAATGTGGGGATCTGGTGGTTACGTAAGAGTTGAGGCAGGAGACAATTGTGGTGAATTTGAGGAGGGTGAATTTGTTGAGGTAGATTTTAATTGGGATGATCAAAGGAGTCTCGATTTGGAAGTAATTGAAGATGGTGTCCAAAATTTGGGTGTGGCTGAGCTCGAAGAAGATGAAAATGGAGTATTTGAAGGGAGCCTTAATGTGGAGGGTGGTGTTGAGAGTGATTTTGAAAATCCAGGGAAAGCTGAAGATGAGCTTGTTGAAAATGAGAAACAGGATGACTCTGAAGATAAAACCGATGGAGTAGAAATTGTGGATGCAAGAAATGGCGAATCTGAAGTTAAGATCGAGAATTTGGATGAATTGGTAAAAGCAGAAATTGATGAGAGTTTGTTGAGGGAAGTAGATTCTTCACATCTGGCTCTAAATGAGGATAACACAGCGAAAACTAAAGCTGCTGAAAATGAAATCGAGCATTCGACGGTTGGATTATTAGCTGACAATAGTGAAAGTGCAGAGAAAAACGATCTGGAGATGGGAAGAAAGGCTCCAGATCAAATGCATGAGCTTAAACTTTTAGAGAAAACTGAAGCTGCCGAAAATGAAATCGAGCAATCGGCAGGTGAAAGAACCAGTGAGAGTGAAAATGTAGCTGAACATCAAATGCAGGACCTCGAACTTGCAGATAAATCTGCATTGACTGATGTTCCAATTAATAATTCTGGCCATGTAGTAGTCGAAGATGAAGAAGCAGGTCGAAAAATGCCAGCTGTCATTGGATTCTCGATGGTGTCCATAATCTTGGCATGTCTGACTATAGCCATTTATAATTCAAAGAAAAAACCAAGAGACTATGGAAATAAATCCAAGGATGTGCTAGAAAAGCCAAATAAATCGGCCGGGGTTGAGGAAAAGAGGAAAGTCGAGTTTATTGCCAGGCCTTCAGTGTTACATCACCCAGAGGAAGAAGAAGCTTCTAGAAAGCTTGATCACAAACAACAAACTTATGTGCCCACTGTTGAGTTGATTGGGGAATTTGTTGTGGATCAACCAAGCAGCCGTAGGATTAAGAAACAAGAGACAGTATCATCTGGAGAGGGCAATGTGGCTTACTTGCGCAAGCATGAAACTCTGACTCAACCGGCTTTGTCCGAGTATTCAAATATGAGTGCCACATCGTATGGAAGTTTTACAACCCAGACGCAGATCACGAAGAAAGAGGTACTTTTTCAAATTGCCCTTCTTTAATTTTTCAAATTGAATGGTAGATTTTGGTGTTTAACTACCTGAGTTAAGACGAGTAAGGAAATCCTTTATAGTGAACTACAAGATCTATAATGTCAATGACTAGAAAAACAATAGTTCCCTTGAGGTTTTAAATAAATCACCAAAGGGTCACTCCAGTTTACTTAGAAATGATGATCATGACTTTGAGGTCTTTCCTAGTCTTGTTTTTAGGTGCTGAGCTTTACTGATATGAATAGTAAATGAGCTAGAATTATCGGCTTGAAACTATATAATAGGAAAATACCTCTTGGTTACTAAATGGATACCTCGATTTTGCTGGTTACTACTGCCTTTGTTTCTGATGAAATGGCAACAAAACATCAAGGGTCATTTGTACTTCCTAAAGATAGACAATTATTATTATTTTTGTTCTTTCATTTTTGGGGATCATGAATTGTGTATATATTTTGAACTGAACAGGGAGGAGGGCAAAGTGGAGAGCATACAGCCGGATTAACTCCCGTCAGGCGATCGAGCCGGCTACGAAGTCGTGCAGCAGTTGTAACCTCTCCATGATTTTCTTTCTAATCAAGTATTTTTAGGACTTGGAAGTTCTTCTAAAACAGCATTCTCAGTTGTTTCTCTTAATCTCTGAAGGGTATTTGAGGACTTGTAAATGCCTCAACTCAATTAGCTTGTCTTATCTGTATCCTCTAGGTTTTTCAAATGTTCTTGACATGTTTAAATGTCATGTATTCTGATCTAATCAGTCTCTCATCTGTTTGCAGCAGCTTATTTTCTTGTGCCTTTGTCACTTTTCATGTGGCCTCTTCTTGTTAGTAGCATTTATAATGCTCTGTTAGATTCCACTATTTGTTGATTCACTTGCTAAATCCTAATTGTTGCCTTATAATCTTTCAAAGATAACCAAAAAAAGAGCCCATTTGAAGTTTCAGATGAATTCACATGTTTCTCACTTAAAAGATAGGTTTTTCTTCAGGTTAAGTGTGTTTAAGTTGGGATCACTATAGGCCTACCCTATAAACTTTAGGGAGATTCTACGCTCCCGTTACGAAACCATTCTGTCGAAATTTGTAACCGTTAGATCAACTATCCACGACGGTACGATTACAAATCTACGGAACCGTAATGGGAATGTAGTAGCATTTACCCTAAACTTTATTCCTCAAAATAGGAAAAGGAAAAGATCACACAACAAATATCTTTCCTATCAGCAATCTGGCTAAAAATTTCAATAAATGGCCACCCTTTATATCCAGAAACAACAGGGAATCTCACTTTTCTGTAATGATAATGAAATTTACAAACTAAAATTTAGAATCACCACAAAATTTGTTATGTACAATACTCTCCCTCTCTCTCTCTCTCTCTCTCTCTCTCTCTCTCTCTCAATTGGGCTTGCTTTGCATAAAAGCCCCTCTTTTACATGAAAAAGATGAACAAGCCCTATTGGGCTTTTTAGTGATTATGGGCTTAGGAAGAGTAAAAGACTTGTAGCTATGCAAACTAGTCCCAATGCTCTTAGAAGCCTTCAAATGCCTTCTACATGAAGTTGCCTTCTTAGCCAAATCCTCTATGCTTGTCACTCTTGAAAGTGATGTGAAAGACTCTGATTTCCCTTTGTAAAATTGTGATAGCCCTCTTCTGAAAATACCATTAAAAATAAAAAAAGTTCCTATTTTTAGCTTTGCAAATCACCCAAAAAAAAAAAAAAAAAAAAAAATTGAATCTTGAAGTTTAAATTGTATAGAAAGTAGGGAAAAAAAAAGAAGAAAATCAAACTGTACTCACTTGATGGGCAATTGTTCCATCATTTCTGACAGATCGTACAAAGCTCGACTCGAATTCGGTGAAAACGATGACGACTCAAATGACGATGCATCGTCCATCACATCCGATAACGACGACGATCCATTCGAGACCGTCGATTCTTGACCGATGGACGACGATGATGATGATGGCGAAAATTTTTCGACATCATCATTCTTCATCATCGTCTTCATTGTACTACTACCATCATTGTATTGAAACCAAGAACCTTGAAACACCTTCTGATTTTTCCCTTTAGCCATGTTACTCATAATCATGATTGATCAAATTGAAGCAAGAAAAATTGATCTCCTTAATTTTGATCTCAAGAACACATAAAATGAACACATATAACATGAACTCTTGGGTCTAACCTAAGGAAACCTTTATATAATGGGTGTACGGGGTTTCTATCTTTTAGGGGTACACGTGTCCAAAAACAATGGGCCGGCCCAAAAACAAGCCTCCATTGGATAGAGTATACACGTCACGGGAACACGTGTCGGCAAGTTATGGTGGTTGCACGGTTAATTTGGTGCGGGTGAGGGTGAGATTAGAGCGGCTTTGTTTGTGTGATTATGATAATTTTCGGGCACAATTTGTTAGGCATCACTTTTTGCGCCTTATCCTAAGATTCGATATTATCTTATCCTATGATTTTTTTTTTTTTTTTTATTTAAATGAAATAAAATACTTTGACTTTGGGCCTACTTTCATCACAAGATAAGTTATTAATGTTTGTGTAGTTATATGTGGAAAGCCCAATCCATATCCTAGTCACAACCTAATCCCCACCATATATTATTATATTCAATTAAAAATTGAAAAAAAAAGAGTATAATGTGACATATTTTGTGTCAAGAGATCTAGAAAACCAAGAACATGGGGTTTGATTTGACCAAATTGTCTCACCTAACATGGCAAGAATCACAAGCAATATTTTTCTTGTTAGCTTTTGTTTTCATTATATATCCATATATTAATAACAAACATGGAGAAAATATACTTATTCTTGTACAAGTTATTGATGGAAATGTGTGTATTTATTTGTTTTTTTTTTGAATGATGATGAGGGACGGTACGAGACGAATCACGAACATTTATGAAATCAACTGTTTGAAAACAATAATTTAAAGCAAAATGATTTATTTGTTGTATATAGAAGGTTGACTCCACTATGGAGCCAACTGTTGGTTTCATAGCAAAACCGTAACTAATATATATAATTTTCGACAGACGTCCACAACATACGTTTCAATTATATACGATTTGATGAATTTAATTGTATGTGGAACTCCCAAGAAACGAACAAAAACAAACAAACGTAAGATATTGTGCATTATATAGGGATGTCAATAAAACCCGTAGGGTCGGGTTAACCGCATTTCGTGTCGGGTAAACTTGAGTTGATTGGGTTTCGTGTCGGGTTCGGGTAGCGGGTAGACTTATGCTACCCGAACCCCGGGCCGAGTCAGGTGCGGGTATAGTAGGAAAACCCATTACTCGACCCGATTACCCTACACGTTTACTCGCAACATTGAATCTTATATATATACATACATATTATATATTTATAACTTATGGTAAATATAAAAGAGTCATGTGTTATTTTAAAAAATTAGATTATCTATTATATTTTTTTATTAATGGTTAAATTTTATTTTATTATTTTATTATCATTTTTTGTTAATTGTGTTTCATCTCCATAGAATGACTAGGTTTTACGTTGGCTCGCCAAGCCTATCACAACCCTCCTCCTTTACCAGAGCTATTTTTTGTTAATTGTACAGTAAAAAAAGAAAAAAAAAATAATTAATTAATTAAATGTTATATTATTAATAAACTATAAATGATAAATAATTATATCTCATTATTTATTCCAAAAATAATATAATTTTGTATAGTTTTTTATTATCAAACTTAGTTAATAAATTATTTGTTACATAATAATTAATTATAAAATTATTTTATTTTATTTTTTCATATAAAAGGAGATGGGTCGGGTAAAACCCAAATTTAATACTTGTGTTACCCGTTTACCCGACGAAAACCCACTAACCCGCCGGGTAAAATCCAACCCAAACCTGAACGGGTCGGGTTCAGGTTTGCCAAAACCCATACCCAACCCGACCATTTACATCTCTAGCATTATAATGTTTTAGTTTAACTATTTTTATTTTATATCGGCCTTGTTTGGCGATCAGCGGATAGCGGATAGCGGATAGCGGATTGTATTAGCGGATAGCGGATAGCGGATTATATTAGCTGATTTGACTAGCGGATTACATTAGCGGTTTTTAAATAAGTGTTTGGTAAATAGCTGAAAGCTTATAGTTGTTTGACATTGCAAATTACGAATAAAGACATTTTATTATTTAGGGTGTATTCTTTTAATAATATATTAAAACATTTAATATTTTTTAGTTGGTAATTTATAAATATATATATTTTTTTTTTTAAATTTACTAACACTTGATTAAGAAGTTATGAATTTTACATTTTTCTAGATAAATTAGTCATATGGATGACATATTATTAGTTGTTAGCATCATAAACCAATGTAGATTGTAAAATAAATAATACAAATTAAAAAGTTTTAAAATAAAATTGTAGATTGTGAATCCTCTATCCCCAAAAAGCTCATCTAATGAGCTTTTTCTAAATTAGAGTTTTGGGCCTAAAAAGCTTATCAAATAAGCTATTTACCAAACAAGCTCAATAGCGGATTTGACGGGTCAAACCTCTCAATTAAGTACAATCCGCTAATTTATCCTCAATCCGCTATCTTCCAAACGGGGCCATCATGTGTTTGAAATTGCTCTATCGGGCGCGAGCGCTCATCGCGGGTCGTCACCTAGACGCAAGCAACATTGTTTCCATGTTCGGATGCGTCTGAAAAGGTGTCCTTGACACAATTTTCGTGAAAATACTTTATATTATCTATAAATACCTCCAATGAACCCTAATTTCAAACTATATGAGTTAAAAATCATTAATAATCAAATTCATTGCATATTGTGTTTTCTTTGTTAAGTGTTTGAGAGTTTCAAACAATAGTTAATACTCTATAGTTTGAAGGGTCATTATTAATCAAATTCATAGCATATTCGATTAGTTTATAAGCTCTCTATTTTCAAATAAGCTCCATTTGATAGGATGGACCTTTCTAAAACACTCGAGCTTATTTGATAAACTTATTTAAGTAGTTTTTCAAATAAGCTCGTTGAATATTTTATTTCAGCTAACTTATCAGCTAATTTTACCAAATATTTTTATCAAAGTCATAAGCTATAAGCTCAAAAAATTACTGATAAGCTTTAAGCTAGTTTATCAGCTATCAACTAATTTTACCAAACATAGCCTTACTTTATTCAAAGCAATATACCGTAAACAATAATGTGATACAATATTAAAATGCTAAAACGTCTAGAAATACTTTTTTTTTTCTATAAAATAATACTAATACTATGTTTTAAAGTAATAAAAAAATCATTAAAATAAAAAGCATGCGTTGAAGGAGAAAGAAATAAAACTCCAGCCATTAGTTCAAACACTTCACTTAATCAGCTTCACTGTAGAGAAAGAAATCATATTCTCACAGCAGCATTCGAAATCGAATTCAAACCAAAAGAACCAAAATATGAGGAAAAAAAAAAATAAACTCTGCATCTCAATGTTATTTTATCTCAGCAAACCTTCTTATAGCCATATTGGCTTAGAATAGAATGCATACACAAATCATCCACAAACTATTTAATTCGTAAATCTCGTAAGTCGCAACACACTTCAAGGAAGATAAATTCTACAGGCCTTGATCGATAAGGTAGTCCCCCATCTTCTCAACGACCATGTTACACTGCCCGGGAGTCATTGGTTCCTCATAGATGCCAAAGATAAGAGCTTGGCTTGTTTTCTTAACAGTTATGCCTCCAGAACCCTGCAATGGAAAGTAAAGGCCGAAAAATGGAAGCTAGAAACTTCAGTTTTTGATTAACATTCGAAAAATGGAACTCAATCTTCTAAGAACAACTTTGTATGGACCAAAAAGGATGTGTAAAGTGTATAATCTCCATTCTTTTGCTAAAACTACACTTTTGCCTTAGAATAAGTCATTTTATTATGCACTTGGATGTGTTAGCAGATGGAAGATAAAAGAGTTTGGTGGATTAAAAGAGTTTGGACCTTTTCACCAAAGGGGCTGGCTACTGTAATCTTCTCAAAAATCTCAAGGGCTATGACAAAATTATCCAAATGTCGTACAGTTTACACCAAATCCACTAAGATGACAAATAATTCAAAAGAAAAAAGCATTTGAAATCAGTCATCACCAACTTATCCAGCTGTTTTGTTTAGGATACGGATAGAATTGGATCAACTTTTTGAGCACAGCCAGCTAATGAACAATAGAAAGCTTATCATTGATCCAATCAAACGAAAAGATAGTGACTTTTCGGATAAAGAAAAAAATAGTGAAATCCAGAGGAGAAAGGTCCATGAAAATTTGGCAATCTAAAGAAAGAAAGAAAAGTACAGAGCATGTGGATCATTGATCCAATCAAACGAAAGAAAGATTATCAATGATCCAATCAAACGAAAAGATAGTGATTTTACAGATTAAGAAAAAAAAAATAGTGAAATCCAGAGGAGAAAGGTCCATGAAAATTTGGCAATCTAAAGAAAGAAAGAGAAGCACAGAGCATGTGATGAAAAAAAAAAAAATCTTCAAAAAAGTTACCAAAGCGAATGTTAACTAGAAAAGGTTATTCCAGAGAAGAAGATTATTGTCTATTTATGACCGCTAGGCCAAAGATACTATGAACATAATGCCACATGCATAACAAACACCGGAAACTCCAGCAATTATGGACGTAACACGATATATTGTTGTTTTATCATAATTTCCAATCTTCGAAGAGAGAGAGAGGCATTAGAAAGTTCACCTTCTTTCCACGAATTACGGCACCAGGTTCTCCCTGAATAACCATATATTTTACCCCTCCAAGGAATAATCCAGTAGGAGCAAGGAACCCAGGCTCATCAAAATCCTTCACGATGTTAGCAATCTCTTGTGGATTGAACTGCAAAGATCGATGTACAAATTCATCAAGAGGTAGAACACATCGACACATTTGATACCCAAATTTACGAGCAATACTTGTCAGAACACATAGATCCATCATCAGTGGTATATATTTGATAAAATGCAAGCACACACAGAAAAACAATAACAGTGTAGACACTGGTTCAGAATGCTTAAAATTCACTTCTCTTTCTCTTAAGAGCATTATGCTGAGACACTAGTTCATCATCCATGTCAAAATCTAAAGCAATTATCTTCGTAAGACCCGATTCCAAACAGGTTTTCGATTTTTATCCGTAATTCCAATGTCACATTAAAATGCCAATTGTATAAAAATGTCTTCATCACAGATGCTAGTGTTCAGTCATAGTATCTATTGATCTGTGATGCCAAACACCATAAGCCAACAGAGAACCCCACATCGAATCAATCACAATAGACACCAAATCTCAACGAAATACAAATAGATAACACAGAATCGTATGTGAATTTGCATAGATCTCAACAGCAAAATCAAATCAAATCAAATGGCGATAAGGGCGGGGAAAAGGGGGAAGATTCACAATAGCCCGTCAATCGAATCAGGGAATGCGAGGAGCAGAAAATCAAAGGCGGAGTAGATCTGAACCTGAGGGAAGGAAGCGCTCTGAGCCCAGACATTGCCGTCGATGCCGATGATGGCGGCGGCGGTGAGGTGAACGCCTTCGACCTCGCACATCAAGTGATCATCCACGTACGTCTGCCACGACATGGTTGCCGGCGATGGATTTTTCTTTTTTCTTTTTTTTTTTTCTGGTACCTTCTCTTGACAGTAGAGGCGTTTTGTTAGTCTGTTATGTTGGGTGAGAAGGAATGAATATATAGTGCGGGAAAAGGGAGAAGCTTGAGAGGTGGTGGGCTATGGCTGCCCGAATTTGATGGGCATTTTCTTGAATGAGTGGCCTTCACGACTGTCCATGAATGGCAACAGGTGTTGGTCACATGGAGCCAATGATGGGTGTCGTCACATTGAATTAGGGCTCTCATTGCAATCTAACAGTTTCTTTGTTATCGTATTTTTGTGTTATCGAATTTTTTATACGGTGTCGTGTGTTATATGTCGCTATAATCGCGCATTTGTCGCGTCGTTAGTTGTTTCTGAGTTTGCAATCGTATATGTCGAGACTCACTTTGCTCTCTTTCCCTCGGTCGTTGTATCATTTTTACTTGTGAATTGTGATAGTGCTTTTTCATACTCATTGTATCATTTCTGGGAAATACTACGATTCCGCTACAGAACAATTCCGTAAAATTTTATAACCGTTAGATAATCATGTAACCGTCGAGTATAATTGATCTAACGGTTACGAATCCCGATGAAATGATTCCGTAACGAGACCGTAGCATCTCCCATCATTTCTATCAGTAATAGTGTTTTTTTTTTTTTCTAAATTTCTCATGTGTCCTATTGTGAACATTGTGTATTGGTCACATTTACGGCGTTCATAATCACTGATACTCAATTCTTAGCAACATGACAATGGCTAATAAACAAAACTTCATCACCTCATTTAAAAAAAAAAAAAAAAGTAAATCAAATATATGACGATGCTTCAAACTCGTCACAGTAGGCTTTTCTTTTCAGGTATAATGGTGCCTAGCTGCAAAATCAAACACACCCCTGAAGAAATCTAAGCAGCCAGCCATTTGGAAGATAACTACAGGGAGAAGCAATCAATAATGTATGTAAGAGATGTAACAAGAATCGAAACTCCTTGCCAGCTCGGAAAAAATACAAGACCCCGGTTGATGATATAGGCTTGACCCCATCGAATCAGCAGAAAACCTCAAAAAAGCGGCTCATCTGCAAAAATACGAGGGTTATCAAATGAAATACAACAAAAGGCAAATCGGAGTAGATATCAATAAAAATGACTATCTACGTACCATTGTCATCGTCGACTGGATTGAAATCATCTTCATCGTCGTCGAAATCTTCAGCCTGCAAAATTCACCATAAAGTTTATTTCAATTCAAAATACTTAAACAAACATAAGCGCAAGCTAATATTTTATGCATGACATATATGTGTTGAGATGGGAACCCCACACAGTTATAAATGATCGACAAAGAGCACCCGTTATAAATGATCAACAAAGAGAACAAAATAGCTGCTCACAGTTCATATATTATGATAAAACAAAACTAAAGAGAGGTAAATCTACTCATTGTTTGAAAATCAAGAATCTTAGTGGCACCTGCTCATAGTCTCCCTCATCACTGTATTCGCCTTCGTCCTCAATATTCTCCTCATCTTCCTCTTCCTCCTCTTCATTCTCTTTCTTTTCAGCGTTTTCATTTTCCTGAAAATACAAAATTCATGCAAGAAAAGAAGTGTTACGACCAAATATGACATGGAAAGATAGAGGAAAAAACAAAAATAAAAAAATAAAAAATAAAAATAAAGGAGACACAACGAAATATCATATTAATAATAATGCAGAGCTCAGAAAAAGGAGTAGCAATATACCTGATCCAACTTTTCGAATTTGTCGAAGACATCCTGACCTGTTACAAACGAGTTAAACCATTCCACATTCATTCCAAATAGAGGCGTGTTGCCTGATTAATGAATAGAAGTTACCAAGAACAGAGAACACCAGGTATAAATATATTATTTCTTCCAAATATACCTAATTCTGGATTCCACCGGATTTTCCTGGTGTGAGGCTTTCCCTTCCTCTCACCTATTTCAACAATAAACACATGAAAATATAAGGCAACATGAAAAAATTAAAATAAAAATGATGCTACAACAAAAATGCTTCATATAAACTGGAACCCGCGTATGATGAAGATAACAGAATGAACGTCGACCTTCAGCTAGTTCTGCTGGAAAATTATCTGTGCTCAATGGTACCAAGTCGCCCAGTTGTTGCTTAGCCTTTGTTGTTCTTGTAACTTTATCTGAATACTTTTCTATATCTGGTTTTTCTGTTTCTGCAGGAAGAAAGTTCAGGGATATAATGAACTCATCGTATTTTAACCGTCCAACTCAATACCACAGAAAAGTTATTACAAAGAAAGCACAAAACTAACTATGAATGGCAAGCTTAAATACTTTATCAAGAAAAATATAGCATATAAATGAAGGAAACAAAAATATGATACGCCACTACATTCATAAAGTAATGTAGTATTTCATAAAGTCAAATGAAATTCCCTTTTATTTGCCCCCCTTCATACAATGGCACTATAATCACGCAACTTCGATCCTACAGGTATAGGCAGTGCCAAATCCCGTATTACGTCGAATCACACACAGTCACACACATACCCGTGTGATGTGTGTTCATCCAATGGCTAAAAACCCCATGTTGGCAGTAAGAAGAAAATTTCCCAATCATCAAAGGCCGGCACATAAACTTACGGATTAAACGCACATTCAGGTGCGGAGTCTTAAAAATCAATAAACATCAACAAAACACAATAAAAACACAATCAGCAAGCATTAACCCGAGTGAATCACTGCCAAGACAAAATACAAAAAGTGTCAGTACTCTTATGGCGTTGTCTTCTATCTTCATAGTAATAAGGAGAGGACACCCAAAACTTGTGCAGGTCCCTAGACCACTTCATCAACTGCCGATTGTCGGTCGTATACTCAGCCGTGCCTAAACCCTCGATCTCCTGCCCAAAAAANNNAAAAAAAAAAAAAAATTAATGAAAATGAGAATCCCAATGCACGTTCGGTCGGAGACCAAACGCAACAACGTTAATCTAAGTTCAAAATTCAACGAATGAAGCTACAAACAAATCCGAATTTAACAAAAAATGAAAGAAAAATTGTTCACCGGAAAGAGTTCGAAAGAAGCTTGCTTGTTCTGGCCGCCGAACCCGCCGTAGCCGCGTCCCCAACCCCGGCCGCGGCCCCTCCCTCTGTAAGACATCTCCGATGATAATCAGTTGGTATTCTACATGCTGAGATTTTGAAACACCACAATTTGGTATGTCTCTCTACTCTATCTAGGGTAAAAGTTCATTGAGGAAATTTCTAAAATGGTACATGAATTGTTGGAAAATTCGGATGTGGTGCATCGGATCGGGCCGGATTGGATAAACGGAAATTGTGGGTCAGCTTCACAGTTGAATTTGGGCCTGTAAATAAATAAAAGGATATTTTATGGAGATTTACGGAACCATTTCGTAAGAAATTGTAACCGTTAGATTATCATGTAACCGTCAGCAGTAGTTGATTTAACGATGACAAACCTCGACAGAATGGTTTTCGTAGGAAATTGTAACCGTTAGATTATCATGTAACCGTCAGCAGTAGTTGATTTAACGATGACAAACCTCGACAGAATGGTTTCGTAATGGGATCGTAACGTCTTCCTCAGTTATTTAGTTCAGCCTTTTTAGGACAAGTTTCACTTTTAGTTTAGATAAGTAAATTAATTAGTTTGATGGTGTAGAAACTAATATTTATTTGTTTTTGTTTTCCTTTATGATAGTTATATTACAAATCTAAATGGAAATAAAATAAAATATAAATTCAGATGCCGACTAACTTCAACACGATTTACGTTATGTTTGATAAATCTAGTCGATAGTTTATAAGTTAGTTGATGCCTTATAAATGAATTTCGAACTTATAACGGATAATTTATAACTTATTGTTGAAAAAACTAGCTGATATGATATGACTGATAAAATTAACTGAAATTTCAGCTGAAATATGAAAATTTGAACGGACTTATTTAAAAAGCTACAAAACACACAATATATAGAAATAATATGTAATTTTCCAAAAATCCGAAAAGAGACCAACTACAAAACAAATTCAAGCCAAACTTATATGGTCTGCTTTGTCAAGAATTTTCTCAACCATGCTTTCAAAATCGGGCTTCACACGTACTTTTATCAAATGCCAGCAACAATTTTTACATGGAAAACACAGAGGCAGTTTTCGTAAATTTTTTCCCCATACCCGGATCACCTCAACGGACTCACAATCCAGCCAGTAATCGGATTCTGCTTTCGGATTCTATGCTTCCTCTGTGAACCACTCTGCAACCTCTCGAGAATAGAGTAAGTGATCGAGTCCGGAGTCAAACCCTGCTCCTTCAGCTTCTGGTACATATCAACAGCCTCCGAACATCTCCCCGACTTCTCCAAACAGTCGAGCAAAATATTGTACGTCACCAGGTTAGGACAACAACCCCCTGCAATCATCTCATCAAACAAGCTACACGCCATCTCAACCTTATCTGTCTTCCCAAAACACTCTATCAGCGTGCTGTAAGTCACCACATCCGGATCCAAACCCTTCTCCTGCATCTCCTTGAACTTCACGTGGGCCTCGTCAAGATCCCCGTTTTTCCCCAAGCAATTAATCAGCGAATTATACGAAACAACATCCGGCTTGCACTCGCTACACTCAAGCTCTTCGAAAATCCGAACGGCTTCCTCGACCCGCCCGGCTCGCCCGAGATTAGAAATCAGAATGTTGTATGTGAAAATGTCGGGTGTGGGGCCCGCGTCCTTCATCTTCTTGTACAGGTCTAGGATGTGGGGTATCTCTTTCGATTTGCCGAGGGCCGAGAAGACCATGTTGTACATCAGAGTATCGGTCGCGATTCCTTTCTCGTGCGTTTTATCCAACATATCTATGGCCTCCACGAATTTACCTGTGTTGCATAGGGTCTCCAGCATGGATAGATACGCGTCTCTATCTCCTTTACTGTGAAAAGTCCACATGTTGCAAAATAATCTATGAGCTTCAGCCGCGTGGCCTAATTTGCCGAGTGTTCGAACAAGGTATGCGTAGATCGACTTGTTCATGTATTTATTGGATATTTTGACGACCTCGTCAAGCCTGCCCAGCTGGCCCTCGGCGGCCAAGACACTGAGGACGAGACTGTACGTGAACTCGTTTGGCCTGCAATTGTCTTCCACCATCTTGGAAAAAAGGGCCATGGTTTTGTCGGCCATTCGGGCCCTAACCAAGGCCTCAATCATAGTACTATAAGCCATGGAATTGGGTTTGATGCCCTTCGAGAGCATCTCGTCGAACAAAGATAGTGCCTCTTTGGGCTTTCCCAGCTTCCCAGTCATCCTTATGAGAATGGTGTATGTATACTCGTCCGGCCCGCAATGCCTTCTTTTCATATCGTCAAACACCTGGTGGACCCGATCAACCTGCCAAGATTCTGCAGCATATCAGCACATTAGATTCTACATTCTAGAGACCATATTTTAACAAAATGTATAACAATGCTCAAATTCGATTGCAAGACGATATGTCACAAAATGCATAACAATGTTCAGCTTCCCGCCTCGAAAAAGATTATCGTTTTAGAGAATCGTCAATCTTCATAAATCAGCTAAATGAGCACATTGCCATCAAAATTCATGTATCCTTGATGAACAAACAGAAGAGCACTAGAAAGCCAATCATTATAACATGAAGCCCTGATAATTGAAAGGGGAAAAACACAGACCTGTTCATCTTTAGCAAGGGCGTGAAGCAGCATGTTGTACCCGAAGCTATCCAGCTTGTACCCTTTCCTCGACATTACTCTGTAGACCTGCAACGCACGGTTCAGATCGTACGCTCTCAGGTAGGCCTGCAGAAGGCACTTGTACGTATAGCACGTCAACTGCAATTCCCATTTCTTCACCAGATTCAGGCATGTTTCCAGCCCATCGACGCCATCAAAAGCCCCAATCAGGATATTAACGGTGGAGATGTTGCCGGAGGTCCCCGATTTCTCCATCCGATCGATTACCTCTTTCATTTTGTCGACCCTATCGGGGAGATACGATTTCGAGAGGATGAGCAGGATGCGGTTGTAGGTGAATGCATCGTGCCGGAAATTCGGGACACTGGCGGAGCAGAAGTGAAAGAGCTCGAGGGCTAGGGTTGGGGATTTTAGGGATTTGAGGATCTCGGAGACCTCGGCGGGCGTCGGGGTCACGCCCAGGGTTTGCAGGAGCTCGGAGAGGTCGAGGAAGGGGTCGGGAGACGACGCGGAGGAGGATTCCGACTGGAGGATCCTGGCCACCCTGCAGATGAGCTCGCGGCGGGGGAGGGGGTAGCCGCGGGCGTCGGAGGGGGCGGGGGAGGCGACCGAGACCTCGATGGTGGTGCGGCGGCCCCTGTTGGTGGTCGTGACGACTTTGCCGGTGTATTTGGTGGCGTAGCCGTGGCGGAGGGAGGGGGTGAAGCTGCGGAGAGGGCAGTGCATGGCGAGGGAATTCAATTCACTGACGCTCAGCTTGTCGTGTGCAGCGGCCACGATATTCAATTAGCTCTCAGCTACTCAAATTGCTAATTTCTTGAAGTTAATTTTCCCTTACTCCTTTCGGGAAAAAAACCTACAAGGATATTTTGGTAATTCTTTTAATTTTATCTGTACTCTTTTCGGAGAAAAAACTACAAGGATTTTCGATTTTGGTAATTCTTATATCAATATATTGGAGAATACTATCATCTCGTTATTAAATTACATATATATCTATGACTACAAATGGTAAGACCTTACATGTATATATCTACAGATAACAACGGAACAATCTGTAACGGAATAGGGAAATCTGTAACGAAATGATAGCATTTCCCCAATATATCAAGTCCAATTTAGAAAAAACCATTTCCAATTCCCACCATTTTTTTCTTTTTTTTGAAGGACCAACTTCATTATCAAATTAAAAAAAAAAAAAAAACCATCAAAGCCATCGAAACGTGATGAAAAAAATAAATAAATGATCTCAATTATAACCACAAATATGAAGCCAAAATTTGAAATTCCTAAAAGAGTTATATTTTTTTTTTTTCGAAACGATAAAAATTTTATAAAATAAAAAGCACAACTGTGCGAATATACAGCAGCCAACGGCTAAAAACCCAGCAGCCAACAACTGAAAAATAGGAAGGACTGGTCAAAAGACCACCTAAAGCCGACCCCAAAAGGGTAATAAACGAAAAACACAAAAAACTACTAACGACACATAAAACTTCAACAGGGTAATACAACACATAACAACCCAAACAGGGTAATACCCGAGTGTAGATCCCAACAGGATAATAAAGGCACACTCGGGTTCACTGAGGCCAAATGCCCAGACCAAAAACACAATTAAACAACACACGAACTAGAAAACAACAACATACCAAAAAGACGCAAACTAAACACCAAAAAACACAGAAAAAGATCGAGCCCTTCCTAAGCTGCAACACCTAATCGAACCAGCGGACACAAGCCAACCACGAATCCCGAAATCAGAAGCACCGACCCGAAACTGCAAACCACTCGGTTGCCTAACGGATTCGAAACTTCAACCCCGGAATCAGAGAAGGCGACCTATACCACGGCCACAACACCCAAATCGAATGACAAAGGAGTGCCACGACCCCAGTCCCGACCCCAAAACGCCAGCCAGCTGCACAAAAAACGACCACACCACCGCTGCAACACCCCTACCAACACCACTGGAAGAAAAGTTGAAACGACGGGACCCGAAAAACGAGGCCAGTGTGATGTCCCTGCGCACACAAGCCACACCGACGCACAACGAGCAAATCGCCAAGCAATCGGGTCGAATCCCTCCCCGGAACGGCACAACGGCTCCATAACGCACGAATCGAGGAGCCCCCCAAGTGAATTAACGGAATGGCGCCGGATTGGCGAAGACCATCCGCAACCGGTGAGGCCTCGATCCAAGAGCCACGGGAGGCAGAGCGGAAAAAAGGAGAGGGATTCATACCGTTAGGGATCGCCGACCGCCGGCAAAGCGTGGTGGCCCCTAGGAAGGCAGACGGCTTCAGGAATGAGGGTTTCGCTTTTTTCCTAAAAGAGTTATATGAAAGAATAAATATATTTTTTTTCGAAATGGTATTTTGAGACTCCGAAATAATATTATTTTTTTTCGTGAAAGAAATTGTAGAAAATTTTAAGAAAAAAATACATCTAAAACACTGTTTAATGACGAATAAGAAATCAAAACTTTTCACCCTCTGTACAATAGGGGTGTTCACGGTCCAGTTTTAACCTGAAAAAACCGTCAATTCGGACCGCGAATCGGTTAAATGATCGGTTAAAAAGGCCTCAAAAAATTCGGTGGTTAATTTTTTAAAAATCCAGTATAATTGGTCCGGTTAACGGATTACCTACGGCAAACCGCCAGTTTAACAGGACCGGACCGGTAAATATTAAAAAACTATAACAAATATATATATACATTCAGTCAATCACTATGGCCGACAAATACAATACATTCACTATCACTTTTTGACATTTTGTTGACTTAATTTTGTAAGACACTATAACTTTTCACTTTTTACCACCTTCGTTTTTTCATTTTCAAATTTTCCAACCTTCTCTTCCTAATTTTTTGAGTGAACATTTTGCTTGCTTGGGTTAAATTTGCATAATGTAATCTTCATCATTTTTTGTATTTTTATGTTTATAGGACGAAATGTGTATTTTTATGCTTATAGGACAAATTGTGTATTTTTATTTCATTATTGTCGTTTTTTTTAAATTTTAGACCCAAATAATCTCTTTTCAGCCCAAAATTGAAAACTAAAAATTAAGTCTAAAATGGAAAAAATAAAAATTGAAAGCCCAAAACAAGGATTTTAGATTTAGCCGGTTAACCGCCAAACCGGACCATCCAATGCGGTTCTGATTGTGGTCAGTTAAAAAATAATACCGGTCCGGTTATGGACAAGAAAAAAAATTAACCGTTAGATCCTGTTTGGTCATGGTTTGGGCTAAAACCGGACCAATCCGGACCGTGAACACCCCTACTATACAATGACGAATATGAAATCAAAACTTTGAACAAATAAAAGGCTACTATCATCATAAAAAGAATATCAAAACAAGGATTCAATGGCGCCAAAATTTTGAATTTTATTGACAATTTGCAGGTGATTTAGATTTACCCTTTTGAAAACTATACTCGTGAAGGAGTATGCTGTGAAACATGCACACAACAAAACATGAATTGGTTAATCCCAGCCTTAACAGCTTTGGTCCCACAAAAAAGGAAATTTTCATTCCGAAATCCACCAAAGTCGAAGGAACCATTACCTTCAACCAGATGAAAACAACCGAACAAATTAGGGCTCACAAGTTTACGGCTACAATAAGATACAAATGATATTTTCGGGATTAAGACGTAATTTACAAATACGATGCAGCCTCTTTTGGATCTCGCTATACCTTCCTGAAAACGGTGTTAATCATTTGCTTCAGATTAACACATCCCACAACCTCCATACCTAGAAGATTTGCAGCAGGGAGCAAATTCTCAGCAGATTTTGGGACAATACACTTCTTGTAACCCAGCTTTGCAAGTGTGTGGACCCTTTTATCCATTCGAGGCACCTATGACGAGCAACAGAAATACAAAAATGATGAAAAAAATAATTATTAAAGAGTAATAAAGGTATTTAAACGTTCATTTGTTACGTTTAGATAGAGATCCGGAAATTTACGTACCATACGAAGTTCACCACTGAGATCAATTTCAGCAATGAATGCTATGCCATTGGGTATGGGGCATTCCAAGAAGCTGAAAACAATGAGATAATTACTCTTATTTCAGATAAGTGAGATATTAGAGGCACGCACCTATGCTGCAACAAGTTGATGAAATTGTTTTCCGGTTGACTAGTCCAGAGAAAAGTGATATAGTTGATTTGAGGGGGTTTTCTTTCCTTGACAAAAAGATGAATAGGTGTAATTGGTGATTCAAAGGTTGAAAATTTGAATACTGTATTTTCCTAGAACTTTTGTAAGAAATCACGTGAAATTTATGAAATTTCTGCGGAACGAGAATGATTTTTTTTTTTTTTTCTGGAAAATACCCACCTGAAATGTTTGCATCATAAAAAATAACTAGTCTAATTGTCCAAAATAAGTTTTCTTGGTCTCAAGCTTGGCAAAAACAATTCATTTCCTTAGTTTAGCTGCGTCAAGCAATCTATTCGAAAAAGTAACTAGAGGTTCTTAGAATTAAAAGATGCCGATACGGCAATATTATGATGCAAATATCTGCAAACGCACAGCAACAGCATTACAACAAGAAACGGGACAAAAATAAGAAGAAAAAAGAGTTCGTAGAAGTGTCATGCCTGCTACAAATTGCAGCTGCTATAGCTAGATCTCCAGCTGTCTCTGTCAGGATAAACCCGCTGACAACGTTAAGAAAAATGCCCTGCAATTTCGAGACAATGTAAAATTCTACAATAGAATATTATATGAACATTTTCCAGCAGGGAGATCGTGATTTCAAATTTCAAGATATTGTAGGACAGAACAATCAGTTGATTAAGGAACCAGCAGTCCGATATTTATTGGTTTTATTCATACTGGGTTTTTTTTCTCTGTTATTTTGGCTGTTATTCAAACATCCCCACTAGTTAGATCTACAAGCAACATCTGCGTTTTATTTAGATTCAATAATAAAGATAAATTCATAGTTGTGAATGACCAGGTACTAATGCTAAGTTGCACTTCAAGTACATAGACCTTTCTCTGAGCTTCTTGTTTCAAGGGATATTTAGGTTGTTTTGATTGTCACCTAAATTGGGGAAAAAAGATAAAAGAAAAGAAGATTGATAGAACAGGCACCAAGAACTCTAAAATGCAAACACGAGAGCTGAACTAAAAATATGAAAGTAGAACATTACATTCTCTTGTAGCTTGAGACCCGCTTGCTTCGTAATAACCTGAAAAGAGAAAATGAGGTCAGACCATAATCATTTACATTCCAAAAGAAATTATTTCGAGTTATTACAGAAATTTAAAGTGTGCTAAGAAAAAATATTATATTTAAAACATCATGCATTATCAAAATGGGCTTTACATTTCCATTGTTCATTTTTCTTCTTCAAACTTAATGTTTGGTAACTGAATCATGGCATATACAGCTTAACTCACCAGCATTGAGTTAGTTAAAGAACTGAGAAGAATCACTCACAGAAATAATCATGTCAGCTCTGCTACGTTGAATACCATTCACGTGCATCATGGTAGATGAGCCAGCCACACACAGTGCCTAAAGGAAAATCAAAATAAGAAATCTAAAATAAATAATATTACTCAATTCAAATGGCTTTTTTATTTCCAGTTCTAAGTCACTCGATCTCAGGTGCACAGCATTTTAATGCATAAATGAGCAGTTCTAGTAGAGAGACCACAATATGTCCATGAACTCGTGCAATCTTAACTTTGAGACAACAGTCATGTAAACAACTGAACAACAGTACCTGAACTTCAATGAGAAATGATCGTGATCCATCCATAACCACAGCCACAGCCAACCCGGCGAGGTAATCTGAATTAGAGTGCTGCTCACCTAAGAAAATTTCGCTTGGATTAGGAACTCCTTGCAATCCAACCTCTGACATTTTGAAAACTCCGAGCTGAAACAATAATTAAGTAATAACTACCAATATCTTGTCAAGATAAAGATATAAGCATTTACACGCAACTAAGGTTCACTGTACCCAAAGTAATAAAGTCAAACATGCTGCTTGGTATTCTTGTAAGATTCAATCTAGGAGATCATTATAGAAGGTTTCCAATTTGTCATGCTTTTTTTTGGCATTGGTTTGCAAGTAGTAAATTTCTGTTTTGTATTGTTTGGTTACTGCTTCAGTTTTATCAATACAGCACTGCCACAACAGAACACGCGAGAATTCACCATTAAGAACTCGTGGTCTTCTTCATTAACAGTACGCTACTCTGGAAGTTTGAGATATCGTATTCGCAAATCGTACATTAAATCTGAATAAATTATTAAAATTAGTATGACAGCTAAAAATGGTGGGCCCCAAAATTGAGGGTGATGAATATAGAATACCTCATCTGTGGAGCCGAATCGATTCTTCACTGATCGAAGCAATCGATGAGATGAAAGTCTCTCCCCCTTTAAACATTTATCATCAGTGGCATTAGTGTGATACAAATAAAGAAAATTATAACACACATAGTCGGTGCTAGTGATTTTGCATTGTAGATGGAAAAAAACAGCCCTAAATGGAATTGTAATTTTAAAGATCTAAGAGCAATTAACTCTACTACTATAGCAAAATATAAAATGATTGGAATTTTAGAGTAAACCAATTATGGACTATATGCTACATGGACAGTTGGACGTCCAAGCTCTACATGCTCATGTCAGCTTTAAGAATATCCAGGTTAATGAGTCAAAGGAAATATAGTCTGCACCATAAATTTAGTTGGTGGTTTCAGTTTTGAAAAACAATATCTATGCAGAATTAATATGAAACTACTTTCAGAAATGTCAGTATCATGTATATGGGACAATTTTATGAGCCAGCATTAAACAATATGTTAGTCTAGAAGAAGTGACTGAATACAATCCAAATAGATACTGACTTCCATATATAAAACAACATCCACAATGTGCTCCAAAAGACGTGGCCCAGCTATTTCTCCAGATTTAGTCACATGCCCACTCTACAATGAAGAAAAAAAAAAAGGATTACGATCATCGGCAGTTGCTAACACAAGAACTGATAATTTTTTACTACGATAGGGTTTCAAACCATTTGTCAAAATTGAACCCACCAAAAGTACAGGGATATTCGTCTTCTTCGCAAACCTTAGTAATGCTGAAGTGCATTCTTTCACCTGTCATAAGTCAACTTACAGTCACAAGTTTATAATACTTGCATGTTCAAAGGTCAATAGTGCCTACAACTTCGGGTTCTTAAACTACATATGAAGAAAAGAAAGTAAAAA